ATATTAAAATCAAGATGTATCTTGCTGCATTGTACGAGTACCATTCTAATATATTGTTAATGTTTGGGGGTAAACATGTTGTAGAGATAATCGCAAGGGTTGTGTCAAATGCCATTTTCTATATAAAAAGAGGGTTAAATAGTTACATGTTGGGGTAAGATTTAATAAAGAGAAACGCCAGGGTTTGATGTGTCAATTTCATAAACTAGTAATAATATAAATGAGGTTAAAAAGAAAAAGAAAAAAAAGATGAGAATACGGGAGAAAGAGGGAGATAGCGGCTATGGCCGATTTAGGGCTAAAAGAACGCATAAATCATGAAACCAAAGTATGCTATATCAAGCATAGGTTGAGTTTTAGCATCCAAATTGAAGGAAGAAGCCATTTTTGGTTGATGAGGTGAAGAAGAACTCGATTAAGGGTTTAAAACTCGAACTTCAGGCTAAAATTGAGGTATGTTTACATAACTAAGTTTCAATTGGTTTTATACTTTGGTTTAGTGCGCTATCTCGACTTGATTGAGTAGATTGTGACCTTGTTATGATTTTCAATTTGTTGTCTTCAACCTCAAGATATAGTGTAACCCGTTCTAGGGTTCATAAATTGAAATTGATATAAAGAAGTGAATATGTTTGATGTAATTAGTTTTTATGGGAAACGCTAAGATGATATGAGATGTATCTAAGTTGAAATATCTAATCCAAACATGCTTTTGAAAAGAGAATCAATTTTGCATATAAAACAGTGGACTTCTTTTTTCTTCTAAAAGTCAAACTGTTTTGTTATAAACTCAAATTGGATAGTTTTATGAGAAATTGAAGGTTGAAATTAAATGGAGTTAGTTATGAAAGGTGTATAAAAGTGTTTCAGTGATCAAATAAATAATTCATATGCATTTTGAAGGATTTTCAAACTTATGGGTTTGTTCTAGTCCGGTTGAACTAAAAGATGAAGTATTATGGGTTCTTTGGAACTCATGGAGGATTTTGATGCGTGAACTATCTAAACATGTCTATAAAAGTTCAATAAGTATGTTTGAAGACTTCACTTCAATAATAGTTTGTTAACGGGAAAATGAGTATTTGATGGTAAGTTGGGTTATGGACAAACATTATGTCAAAAACAAGTTTTATGCACACCTTAAGTTCATACATGATGTTTTGATATTTGACATAAACTTGAGTGAAGCCTAACTATGAATTCTTTAGTTGGGAGTTCAATGTTGGAATTACATTGGTTGAAGTAGGTTAAATATGCGTGGAGATGAGTTTTGAAAGTATAGCATAAACCATAAAGTGATTTGGTCGAAATTGATGTTCTCATCGTTGCTGGAAATTTTAAAAATCGTAATAAATCACTCATAACTAGGATTTAAGCTTATAGTAGTTTTCTGGAAACTTTAGGATGTCTTCTATAATCGATATGCTTTGAGGATGAGCTAATTTGGGCTATAGGTAGCTCGAAATTCGAGTTTAACAGAGCTGGTCTGTTTTAGGACGGGAATATATAATCAATCTTCTAATATTTGCATAAATTTGGTCTTAAATCCGTTTGGAATGGTTCTTAATGGGTTGGAAAGGTAAAAGGGATGTCTAAATACTTGGGGGGCGTTTGGTTCGTCGGAATCTGATGGAATTGGAATGTCAATTCCGTTGACCAAATTCCATTCCAGCGTTTGGTTACCTACGGAATGGAATTGAATTCCAAGGATTCCCTCATTTGAAGGATTTAACCATTCCTTCATGAAAGTGATGGAATTAAAATCCATTCCATCCAAAATTATGTAAATGACAAAAATACCCTCATAAGACTTTTATGTAAACCCTAGCCGCTCCATTCTCATCTACTGCTTCTACCCATCGCCTCCTAACAAAGAACGCTGCTTTCATCTTCTCGATCAAACACTGTTTCATCTTCTCGATTGATTGAACACTGCAGGTCGAATCTTCCCGAATGTTACTGCTTTCATCTTCGAGTGGACTGCTACTGTTTTCAATCTGCTTCAATTTCTGATTTAATGTTACTGCTTTCATCTTCTGATTTAATGTGACTGCTTTCATTTTCTTCATCTTCTGATTTAATTTCGATTTCTGATTTAATGTTACTGTCTGTTTGATGAATTGTCCATGGTTAAGGAAATTCTGAAATTTCTTATATAGCTGCTTTCGGTTAGTAACATTTTCCACAGCAACTTGATCTCAGACATAAAAATGACCATTTTGAGCTTACAAGATATACTGCTGTTTGGCTGTAGGTCATGTATTTGCCCACTTCGCTTTTCAAGTCATCAACCTTCCTGCAAACATAGAATRTATTTGAAGCTTAACCACAAGTCACAAATCATGGTGTCTAATGCAAATAACAGAACCTGAAAATGCAAATAAAAATTCTGAATCRACGGAACCTGAATGAAAATGCAAATCACAAAGAACAAGGTTCTTGTTTTGGTATTTTGGAGTGTGAACCAAAAGATGTTTTATGTAGACAGTCTGTTGGATCAAGGCTGTTGTAATTCCAAATCATGAATGTATAATGGTGAACACTTGTTATGGGTCCATGGGAGTTCATAATATGTTGTCCTGTCATAGGCCATGTATGGTGTAGCTTTTCCCCTTCCTAGGTTCCACCTAACTGACTCAGACTCAACMTGCATCTTAAATAGATCAAGTTAAGATTGATCCCTTGGTCTCTCAACATTTAACAAAGTTAATCTGCTAGTCAACATTTTTGTTGTACTGCTTTGTATATATTGGGCTCACTGATTTCTGATTTTTGTATATGATTTGTTCTTGTCAGGCAGATTCCAATTCATTAGACRGATTAAATTCCATTCCTGCCAACCAAACACTTGGTCAAACRCCCCTCTGTGCGCAAATAACCAACCAATCGATTAATTATGGCGGCGACACCCTCCGCCGGAGTAGAAGCACTCCACTGCCTGAAACTGACGGAGCCACCGATGTACCTAACTCCATCGTCGGAACTTGCTACTGCCGCTCGTATTGCTTCGGAGCACTTATTCGCTTCAGTCAAACCCTACACTCCTAAATCACCATTCGACCGCCTCTTTGTAGACGAGAAGTTCGACGCCGAGCAGATTTGGTAGCAAATTGACCTTCAATCTTAGCTGTTGATATTCGCCATTCGCCATCAAGTAAACAAGTTTGAGAAGGATCCGCAAGAGCTTAAAGATATTTTTAAGAGTGGTGAGTCTGATCAAGAGCAGAAGAGGGAGTTTGTTTTAGAGGGGGAGAAAGAAGAAGAAGACGAAGAGGATGATGAACTTGATGACGAAAGCAACGAAGAAGAGGACGAGGATGAGGATGAGATCGAAGAAGATGAAAGCGGAGACGGAGAGAGAGAACGTAAAGAGAGAGGCGGAGTTGGTGTTGAAGATAAGCTTTTAAATATACAGGAGATGAAGGAGTCCATGGAAGATGATGAATCTAGAGAATACGGAGTTAACAAAAAGAAACAAGTGGTGAAGAAAATGGCTAGAAAGTTTGGGGAAGACGATGAAGAAGAAGATGATGATGAAGACGATGACGATGAGGTGAACACATTTCTAAGAAGAATGATGGGCTTTAGAAATAATCTACTTTTCAASTTAAATTTCTAAACTTGTTAATCTAATTCTTTTTTACTTGAGTTGGGGTTAGTTCATTAGAGCATTTTACATCGTTGTGTAGCAGCACATGATGCTTGATTTGAATTGGAACTGAAGCTCATTTAATTTCAATTTCTATTTGAAGTTCGCAAATATAGCCTTAGTTTATGACAACTATTATATGATTTAGTTGCTTTGTTTGGCTGGTTTTCCTCTGAAGAATTTTCTGTCTAATTATTCCCCTTGGTTATTGTAGCTTGGAGTTCTTGAACTTGCAGGGGAAGAAGACATGTCAGATGCTGAAGATGCTGGGTGATACTTTCATTACGCATTTATGTATTGTGACTAGATTATGTGATCTGAGTAAGATATACGGATGCATGTGTGTGCGTAAGCATTGCACGGAGGGAACCATTTGTTTTAGTTGCTCTGTTTTGGGTGTTGTATGATGAACAAGATTTTGCCTTTGAAGTTCTGAAGGATGGGATTGCAGAAAAACGAACAATATTTCATCATCCTATGCACTCCAGTTGATTTGAGTATTCCCAGTTATGCATGGCTTCATCTGCTATAGTTGTTATCTCTGTAATGGTATTTCATTTTGCAATGGTTTCTGCTTGTTATTTGCCATCTGTTTTGAGGCTCTATAGTTTTTAATGTTGACGCAAAATTCTGAATCTTGAAATGCGTTTTTGTTTCTTTTTGAATGTCTGAAACTATAACATCACTTATTTGCATCAAATATCTGGTTTTTAACAACTCATGATGTTTTAATCCAAGTATCCATAAATGTTTGTCCTTTTTTACCATTTTCTTCCCAACCAAACCCGATCCCTACCAAATTCAACTCATGTTTACCATCCCTGGGTTTGCTTCAATCTAGGAGCTAGTTGGGCATGCAATAGAAACCTTAAAGGGTGTCCTCACACAACAAAGAAATGGCCACCCATGGTGTTGGTGGCAATTTTATTCATCATTGGGACTTATAAAACCCCTACCAAATACAAGTAATCCATATTTAGCACCAAAACAAGAACACCGATAATCAAGAAGTTAAAAAGAAGGAAATATAGACCACACTATGTATATGCAAACCTGYGCAATTTTCGAATGAACACCACCCCCTTCACGTAAACCCAATCTTTCAAGCTATCAACAAAGTGAAAAAAAACACGTCTCCCGTGACGGTTGAGAAGTAAAGCACCACATGCTATCCAAAATCCAATASCAAATCCGGTGCACCCACCAATGTAAAACCATCTTTGAAGTTCATCTATGTCTTCCTCACCACTCTTACGTTCACCAACAATAGGTGGTACTTCATCTCCAGGACAACTTTTTGCAAGGGGARGTCCACATAGTCCTGCATTTCCGGTGTACCTTGAAGGTTCAAAGGACTGGAGTTGAGTGCTAGATGGAATTCTCCCTGACAACTTATTATATGACACGTCTAGGTAACTTAACAAAGTCATTTTAGACATGCTTGATGGCATCCCTCCTGAAAATTTATTTCTAGATARATCCAAAGTTAAAAGTTCKTTCATSACACCAATTTTTYGTGGAATCTCTCCAAGWAGAGCGTTCWTTGACAARTTCAGTRCAASCAGTTYATGAAGWTCRACYAATTCATTTGGGATTTGTCCCGTTAAGTTGTTGCTTGAAAAATCAATGCTCGTCAATAATCCYAGATTWTTGGTGAATTCCTGTTCCTTTCCTTGCCACYCGATCATYGCDTTGTCAACATAARTACCMACGAAACTCATGTTYYCCCYAWACMTATGAATGTTATATTGCAAGARCCTTCCRTCAACMATGGCACTCAAGTTATTCACGCATGATGGAATGGTTCCGTTGAGGTTGTTGATTGACAAGTCTAGGATTTGAAGGTACATGAGATGACATAGTTGTAAAGGAATGGRTCCRAACAAGTTRTTTGATCYTAGGATAAGACCATACAACCMTVTTAAGTTTTCCCCAATCCAAACAGGCACATTACCARAAATCTTGTTGGCCCCCAAATTCAAAAAAYTTAACYWKGTGCAATTCTTCAAAGCCATAGGMAATTCYCCTGAAAAGTTGTTGTTGTATAAATCCAATACCTCRAGTTSAATCRAATATCCTATAGAAGCAGGAAGCCTTCCAGAAAGATTGTTRTGTCCTARATTAAGAACTCTTAGYKYTTTGAAATGCCACAAACARTCAGGAAGTTGCCCGGTTARAGAGTTGTGGGAGAGGTCAAGAAAWRMCAAAAACYCGTCAACAATTTGGCAYAWRAAGGAGATWCCACCATWGAATTTRTTTTTGGAAAGATTCAACCATGYCAAAGYGKAAGGAACATTCGRTAKTGGCCCAYAGAAGTTRTTGGAACTCAAATCTATCATTGCCATGGGGCCAAAATTTGATGATAAATCTGATATTTTCCCGTTGAAGTTGTTGGAAGAGAGATCCAAATATGTCAATTGTGAAGGCCATGTCTTCCAAAACTCGATCGGAATTGTACCCGAAATTCTGTTATTGGAGATATCAAGATGGTTAAGATTTTTGTGTGCTTGAATCCATTTGGGGAAGAGAGGCCCTAGATTGCAAGCACTCAAATCAATATACTCTACATAATAAAGGTTTGAGAAATGAGCTTTGGAAGGAATCACTACAASTGAGTTGTTTGAAAGATCTATATACGAAACCTTTGACTTTCCAATGTTTGGAGTGATAACAAGAGAATTGGAAGAGACATMTAGACCTTGAAGATTGGGTAGTTCCCACASCTTTTCACTCATAGTCCCATTTAAGTGATTATRAGRTAGGTMCAAATMTTCTAGGGATGAAAWYTYTTGGATCTSGTCRGRCARTGRYCCTRTAARTTGGCTAGAGTCAGCATACAAATCTCGCAATGTACCCGATGTGCATCCAGACAAGTTATTTAGAAAATCTGTAAAATTGACAACTGCAGAGTTCTTATAGAAGTATAACGATGTCAAACTACAGAGATTTCCAAGATATTTGGGTATCCCATCTAACATGTTCCCAGAGAGAT